TACATTTCCATTTTTGGAGAGGATATAGGATCTACACAGCCAATAAAAAGTTCAGCGACTAAGTGACTTGCACTATATAAATCTAAAATAGAAAAATTTTTAATGAATAGGTTTATTTATAATAAGAAAAGAAAAACTACAGATTATTGTTGTACATGGCTACACACTAACATAGTAATGTAAAAACCTTAGCCAGCTAAGCCAAACAACTCTGAGTCGGCTAGAACTTGGATAATTTTTTTATCAAATATTTACTGACAAATAACATACTCACTAAAAATCGGTTGTTTTTATATACCAACTCAGTCGATCTCATGTAGTACTAAGCTTTCTGATATTATTATTAATACTGTTGTTATTATTGTTCACTATTAATGGGGGTTTCTATTCGAATAAGGTTTATTCGAATTATTTGTTTTATTCATTATTATTATTATTATTATTATGAATACGAGTATTCGAATTATATTGAAAGTTTATAAACGAATAAAACGAAAAAGAATTTTATTACGAATAGAAAAACTCCAACTATTACTATTGCTTTCTTTATTATTATCTTTTATCCTGTTACGAGTATTGCATTTTTTTTTTTGAACAAATGTATGTTTTTTTCTTTTGTCATTTTAAATAATGCGGATGGGCCAAGTGTCCATGTCACTGAGTCATTCCGGACGTAAAAATGAGTGTCAAGAGAAAATTTTTTTTATCATCTTAGCCGGCTCACATTACTACACTAAACTTCTTGTGTGTGACAAAAGTCGGGAGCACTTTTAAATAAAAAATTCGCCCAAAAAATAAAAAGTTTTTCCAAAATATTTAATTGAACTTGATAGTCATGCGTAAGATTTTAACACTTGATAATAAATGTATTGAATAAGTATCTATGTTGTTTTGAATCTTTTTGTAAACAAGCACCATTTTTAAACTCAAAACGTCAGTCTTAAATGAAAGTCAACATCGGTCTATAAAAATTTGCTGATGCCCATAGAAAAGCAGTGACTCGTACTATTCAAGGAGAATTGAAGCGGCTATCGAAAAATAATGAGCGGCCAACGAAATATTGAGTCAGCTGTCACATATAATTTGGACCTATCCAAACCCACACACCTAAAATTTAATTGACAACAACGAATAAAACATTGAAAATGCTTACTCCATACAAATTGACGGTCTTGCAATATCAGCTGGTCTGCATAAAAAGATCAATAGCAATAATGAAGATAGCATTAATGAAGAATGGTCACATGTTGATTTGAATGGATGCAGAATATTAAGGAAAGGTTTGTTTGTAGCAAATAAAAAAAAAGTCGTGAGCACTGGAACTTGGCAGTGTTTACTCGTGCTCGTAAAAAACGTGATTCATGCTGTTATTAGTGGTGAGTTGTACTTGTTAATTTAATTTACCGTACTTCCTCGGTATGATGGTTTAATAAGCGTCAAAAAACTGGTCTATGGAGAGGGAGCCTATCGGTCAATTTGGAAACAGAAATAATAGCGGTAAAAAATTCAGCGCAAGCGTATCTCATATTACACAACTAGACTTTCCAAGCTTTCAAGATTAATCTACCTATCTGCTGCTATTTTAGTTATGGCAGTAGCAGCGACGATGACCTTTTATATGACTTTTTATGAAGCCACAATTAGATATAAGGAGGATTTGGATCTTCCTGATTTAGTGTTGATAAATATGGTTTTTGCTTGTTATTAAAATATTTATATTTAATATCATATATTTAATTTTTACAATAATAAGATTTAATTTTTGAAATATTTATAAATAATAAAATAGATAGAAGTAAATAAAGGATAATAACAATAAATTTATATAATATTTATATATTTATCAAATTAATTAATTATGACCGATTAAAGGAATATGTTGATGTTGATGAAACTTTTCCAGGGTCCAGTCATAATCTAATTAATTGTCATCAGTCATCACTTCTAACAATTCTAATAATTAAAATGGATAGATGGATGGGGTGGAATTGAGAAGAGAAGTTATGAAATTTTGAGAGATTGAAAACAATTACAAAAGAAAGTATTTAAAAAAAAAAAAAAAAGGTAAAGAGGGAATTAAATATATATATATATATTAATTAAATAATTAAATAAGTCTAAATTCTATTTATTTTTTTATAATAAATAAATAAATAAATAAAATAAATCATATACAATAATGATATATTATAAATGAGTGAAAGTCCGTTAAATATCTTCCCGAAAAAAATATAATATATATACATATACATATATATATATATATATATACATATACACATAAATATATTAATACGTGTCAGGTAAGATATTATCAGGACCACGATATATAGCCATTAAATTCGCAGCAATCAAAATCAAAAGGAATTTAGCCCATCTCCAAATTAATCTAAAGAATGAGTAAATGCTTCTTGCCCATCTTCTCCAAAACCATTCTCTTATTAAATTTATTTTATCTTCATCAAATTCATCCAAGAAGACAAAATCATCGCTTAGTAATGACATACTATCATCAAAGAAGAAGCTTTTCTCTGATGTGGGTGAAAATGATGGCGGTGATTCAAAAATTCCCTCGATTGGTTTGTGATAATCAAAAGTACGACGAAATTCATCTTCCAATTCTGAAAGCAAAGTCCTTTTAATTTTTCCTCCTAGTCCACCGCCAGGGCTAGCCGGGGCAGCACCAAATAATGATCTATCAGGATTACTTAATCTTCTTAAAGTGTTGGAAATTTGATGCTCAGAGAAAGAATTTGATCTCGAGGCAAACCTTGAGGTTGCTCTTGAATATGGCATTCCTGATTTCATGCTGACAACTCTTGAACGTTCGTACTCTAAAGATTCTGATAAATCGTTGATTAGCTCTGTTTGTTGACGACATTGCATTTGTAGGATTTCATAGTTTTGTGAATCGTTAGCCAACTGATTACATTGTTCCTGCAAAAGATCTAATTCATTCGTGACCATAGATAATTTTCTTTCGGTTTCAGACTTTTTCTTCTCGATATGATGATTTTGTTCTTCCAATTCTGCCACTTTATTCACCAAAGCTTCAATGAAGGCGTCATTTTTCGAAGTTTTCTTGTCGTATTTTAATTGCCAAAAATCAGACTTTTGTTTTTGGAGCAAATTTTCAGTTTGTTTTTCAAGATCCTCGATTTTCAGAGTGGCCTGAGAATAACGATCTTGATAATGTTTTAAGTCGGATTCGATTTTGCGTATTTTCGTTTTATTAACTTTGTCTGTATCGGTAAATTCTCTCATGACTTCATCAAGTCTTGCTTGAAGATCTTGGTTTCTTGATTCCAATTCTTTAATCACCTCGACTTCTTTATATGTTAATTGTTGGTTGTTATTATTGTGATTATTATTATTGTGTCTTTTTCTGAGTGGAGATATAAGTGATGATGAATAATTATCATATGAACTGTTTATTGATTCAGTATCACTATTATTATCACTTTCATAAGGATCTTCGAAAGGATAATCCATATTGTTTGGTGGAGCTATTGGTATACCATGTCGCATAGTAGCCATTGCTTCCCTTTGTCTTTGTTTTTCTAAACTTTGATATTGAGTAACCAAACCTTCATATTTGGCTTTTAATGCCATGTTATTTTCCAATAAACTTTTCCCAATTTCTGCTGCCAAGGTAAGATCTTTTTTTTTTTTTTTTTTTTTAAAAATCAAAATTTAATATTTTTTTTTTTTTTTATAACAAAAAAAAAAAAAAAAGAAACTAAAACAATTACCTCTTTCTTTTTCTTTAATGACATTGTATGCTTCTTTTAATAAAGAGGTAAGCTCAGCTTGAGATTTATTTACATTCCATGAGCCAGATAGAGTAGGTGAAGCTAAAGGACTATATGAGGAGGGTGGGGGGAGAGCAGGAGGGGAAGCAGGGGAATTAAGAGAGTTAAGAGAAGAATTAAAAGAATTGATAATACTTGAGTAGTCTGGTGGTGGTGGTATTTTTACTGATAAATTCATCATGTATAAAAATGTAAAATAAAATGTTTTTGAAGTTTTGTAAAAAAAATATTTTTTCACAATTAATTAATTCAATTAATTAATTGTGAAAAAATAAAAAAGAAAAAAAACAATTAAATAAATAAATTTGAAAATTTGTTTGTAGAGAAAGGAAAAAAAAAATAGAATTTTTTTTGGCGAAAAGAAGAATTTGTTATATAAATATATATATATAATAATAGTAAAATAAATAAATAAATATATACAAAGAAATTTATAATAAGTATATATATATATTTATATATTTTTTAATATATATAAAAAATTAATTATAATGATATTTTTTTAATTGTGACAATAATTATTTTTTCTTATCAACATTGATAAATAATAATCATAAACAATGTTAAAATACAAAAAATGAATGTGTATGTAAAAAAAAAATGGAAAGAATCTTTTAATTATTTTTTGCATATGAAAAAAGAAATGTCGTGTCACAAATTCTCAACGCCGAAAAAAGAAAAAAGAAATTTTAACCACCACACATACACACCACACACACACACACACACAAAAACAATCAATCAATAATAGCATTTAATAAATATATATAGTATATATAATAAAAATACATATATATACATTATATAATATGCTGGCAAGTTTTTTTTTTATGCGGGGCATTCTTTAAATACATCCCGGGGATTCAAATATATTTAATTTAATAATCAGCCTCAATAGATTAATTTAATTATTAAAGATTCATTATCGATGCCATCCCACATTTTTTGATTAATTATAAATTTAAATTCTTTATTATTTTCCGGAAAATACTCTCTAAATCACGGAAATTCAGCCTATGGAAGACAATGAACGATGTCAAATATGGTCATTGGCAAGACTTTTTCTCTTGTGGATTTTTTCGCTCCCAAAAAAAGAAATTAAATGAAAAACAAAATTGCCAGAGAAAGAAAGACTTGGACAATGTTGTGTGAGTGGTCGAAGTTAGTTAGTTTATTCACGCAGCGGTGAAACAGCAATATTATCGTGGGAAAAAACTTCAATCTAACTCGGGTTGTCTTTTGCTTTAATTTCCCAAGAGTAAACTTAATAATTAAGAAAACACGTTACGAAAAATTTTGAGATCGCTATTTAGTTAATGTTAAAAGTGAAGAGGAGGGAGAAATAAACAATAATAATAATAATAATAGTAATAATAATAGTAATAATAATTTATACCGGGAAAAAATCATGTTTATGAACGGGGAGGGAGACTTTTCATGACTCATACACATATCATAACAGGTTAATTCCGGTGCGAATGAAATCTGCAATATTCTACTAAAAACAGGAGACTTGGTAACAATAAATTGCTGTTATTGCTGACAAACAAACAATTAAGGTTTTAAAGGGGGAGGGGGCTTGTTTTAAGATTGCCCGAAACGCAATGTTTTAACATTAATATAATAATAATAATAATAATAACTTCGTTCGAAACTTATTATTATTATTATTATTATTATTATCATTATTATTATCATTATTATTGCCATTTATAAAATAATCTATAAAAATGATCAACTTTTGATTCGACATATAACAAACTTGGTTAGTGATTTATTTTGTTAAACACGTTTTTTAATTAAAAGATTTTAAAGATTTGAAGCTATTTGATGATAATGATAATGATGATGATGATGATGATGATGATGATGATGATGCAAGTTACATCTCGTGGTTTCATTTCAACATTTAATGATTATTTGAATGACTAAATGATTATTTTTAATGAATTGGTTATTTGTGTGATGTTGATGCATAATAATAATATGTTACAGTTTTAATTCGGTTGGTCGGTTTTCTATATTGATAAATATGGACAATTATCGATTTTAATAACGTCGATCACATCTTATTAAGAAAAAAGAAAAAAGAAATAATAAATAAACAATTTTAAATCGACCTGCTTGGCCGACATTAATATCCATATTGGTTAGATTGAAGAGCTTCAAAGTTGGTTAGTTGGTTTGAATTTATATGAACTGACTGTGAAATATTTATTTTCCCGTTTAATTAATTCATTTATTATTTATTATTTATTATTTGTATGATACAATAATTCCTAATCAAACTTAATCAACAAAATTTTTTAACTGATAAAAAACAAACGCGAAAATCATGCAACCAAAGTAATAAACATATTCACATGTGTTTAATTAATTTGGTTAGGAATAACGCTCGTGCGTAATTGGTATTATTAATTAGTATGCATTATTTGTGAAAGTGTAAAAAGTGTGAAAGTGTGAAAATCTGAGAAATCAAAAAATAAAATAAAATCAATCGAAATCCAATTAATTCCACTTTTTTGGGAAATTAACCGATGGCTCATATCAACTAATCATTTGATCAATCTTATTACAAATCATTATTAAGGGTAAAACATTCTATTTTTTCTCCTTCGTAAATCATCTCTGTCCATGATCTTCTTTTTGTTGTTCGGCCGATCCTTGTTTATTGTTCAGCCATTTCTTCCTGCCAGTTCCGTGTTCTTCCGGCACAGCAACGTTTTATCAGCACACTTTTTACAAATTCTCTTCAATATATGGTGCCTCGCTTCCTGATGAATGATGACGATGACGAGCTATTAATTGATGGATAGGCAGGTAATTTGATAGGGGAGTGAACGAATGGCGCAAAGTGTTGACGAAGAAATATTATGACAAATCATTTATTCTGGTTGCTACAGTACCCCAGGGTTGTAAAGAAAAAAGGCTTGCTTGAAGAAATTACTTGACGAGTTATGTTTCTGAAAAAAACTCCTTTTTTCATTTCTTTCTTTTGTATGGGGTGAACATTATGTGATACAAGAAAATTCTTTCGCGTTTAAATATTTTTCCAAGAACACCTTTGTTCAATTTTTAATATTCAGCTTCGATAATAACAACAAAAATTGTAAAAATCATCGCCCATAATTCGTATTGACATTTACAATTGTAAAATAAAGCCTGTAATCAAGAAATTATTAATTAAAAAATAAAACTTCAAATTATCTTTTCAATAAATAAATATTTACTTGAGCTGAATTTATCCGTGGGACTTTTTTCCTCATTGTAAAAATTACAATCAGCCTTGTAATATAAATCGGTGAAATAGAGCATTGGAAAAGTATAGACAAAGTAAAACCAGTTGATGAAAAGAAATACTTGAGACTTTGTGGAAAGATTCCGAGCAAATATCTTATAAAAAGAACAGAATCGAGCCCTGATTTTTTCATTCAGTAAAATGGCGACTGAAGTTCATGGGTTGCTTGAGAGAAAAGGTATTGCTGTCTCTGCTATTAAAAATTCTACCAACAAAAAACAAAACCTGGAAGGAAACCGATAGAAGCAATTCAGCAGTGGGTTCTCATGCAAATATACACAGACAATTTTTCTAATGTATTTTCTATGTACAAGTCCGAGTTGAAATAAAAAATAATTTTCTTTTGTCGTTTAATTCGTAAATAAATTTCAAGTCATGCATGTGCTACGAGTTGCAGCTCGTTTATTATCGGTCAAAATTATGTATAGAGGCAATTAACCGTATAAAAATTTTTTTAATTTTAGAACGAGCAAATAAGAGGCCGAAGAAAAGTTGAAGTGGGCGAAAGAAAAAGTTGGACAAGTTAATGATAAACCTGGCAGGAAAAAGTACAGGGTCAATGATCAAGAAGCAATGCGGTGAAACTGAGAACAAGAAGAAAAAAAAAAGAAAAAGATTTTTGGAGGACAGATTGGGGGAAAACATCACGGTGGAATTTAAAGATAAAGGTAATGGACAATTTCTTTGTTATTTATCATTCCATCTTTTAATTAAATATGTAGCCTTGTTTACTCGCTTGCCCATTTTTTATCTCTTGAATCCCATTGTTCGTCTTTATCCAGTAGGGAATCAGTTGAGAACAATTTTTCCTATCATATTATACACATATTGTCTTTTGTTCATCTCGTAATATTACCTTTAATCCATTTTTTCGATCCATTCACATTTCAATTCTTTTTTAAATCTCCTTTTCTTCTATCATTCCATACTAGTGAAATAAAAATGTGTGTACTTTTGAGGAGGGTGTGATATATTATAGAAAAGAGTTCATTCTGACATTGGCTAAATTATGTTTTCTTTTCTACTTTTTCTAAAACTTTTATCTCCATGTTTTAGATGTTCAATTTACTTCATTTCATTTATTCATTTATTACTATCTATGAGAGAATAATCTATGCCTTTTTTTTAAAAATATCCTTTTCTCCTTTATTGATTATTATTCATTTGGAATTTTTCTTTGTTCTCAGTTGATGAAGTTAAGTACCCTTATTGGCGTCAATCAATTTGTTTAACATTAATAATGTTAAATATCAAATTAATGATATATTCATTCGTATACTGCTTACAACCTTAATTAACTTGTACATTTTTTCTTTCAATATTTAAATTTTAATCACTTTTTTATCATCTATATATCAATTTTTATTCACTTTGGAATCCTTTATGCAAGAAATGTTGGATTTATTTCCTCTCTAATTTAACATCATTCATTCTTTGCAGGAAAGCATAAGAGTCTAAGATGACAATCACAACGAACAGCCTAACAGTCGCAGGACATTGCGGATCTACAGGGGGTCAAGTGTCACTCACTAATAAAAATTTTTTGATCAACACGGAA